TTAAAGATCGCGGAATCGACCGTTGTAATTTTAAAATTATTCTTCATATAGTTATAAAGTTTCTTATAATGAAAGGTGCAACGTATACACTCGCGGCACCAAGATCCATAGGCCAAAGATTAATGATATATGTATTTGCACACCAACAATGATTAAACGGAAACACTTTTCGACAAAATATGCCGTGGGCTACAGAGGAGGATTATTAGATCGTAATCACATAACACTTATTTATCTTAAATCACTGCTGCTGGCAATGCAATTGTTTGTCAAAATTGTCATTAAGCTACGCCTTTCCACAACGCATGGGGCAATGTAGCTGATCCTTTCAAATCTGTAGGGCCAGACTCATTTAGATAGCGCAATTCGATTTATCAATCGAATAAGACATCAAGTAGTATATGCCACAACCTATAGATTCCAAACGTCAAACGTCATGGGTGCCCAATACCCGGATCATGTATTTTTTTTCAAAATGCTTTCGGTATGCATGGCCATAAGTTTTGGCAAAGAAATGAACATTTCCTTTCATCAAATTTGGACGTCTTCATTATTCGATTGTTCAAATAGATTATTAAAAGCCAACTACCGAGAAATATGATAAATATTAAAGTTGTATAAATCCAAATAACTACCATGGTTAGGTATCGACTAGGTTTAACTGAAATGGATTTTAATATTGGACGAAGACAGTCACTACCGAAACATAAAAGAAAATGTTACTTCTGTACTGACATAAAGATTATGAACTGTTTTATGAGTCTATTTTCATCAGATAAAGACACCAATTTAAACCGTCCGTGTATATGTACTACTAAATACACCTGTTGTGAATAAACCTGTTGACCTCAAAGATATGTATTATACAATTCTACATATGCATGGTTGTTTAAAATTTCTTGTATATGGACCGGAAGCCTTGAATACGGTCGGGGCGGTCGGGTAGCCTAGTGGTTAAAGCGTTCGCTCGTCACGCCGAAAACCCGGGTTCGATTCCCGACATGGGTACATTGTGTGAAGCCCATTTCTGGTGTCCCCCGCCGTGATATTGCTGATATATGTTATATGTTTTTAACTTCTAAAATAGTAACAGTTATATACAAAAGAACATCGTAGATTTAAGTCGAAATATGTGCACATGTTCTATCTTCTAGAAGGAAATTGAGACATGTATTAACATTTCATCTTTAAATGGATCACTGCATTCTAGTGGTAGAGTGAGTTAGTGAGTATTGTTTATGCCGCCTTTTACGGCGGAGGACACAAGGAATAGGCTACATACATTGTGCCCATGAGGGAAATCGAGACAGAGAGGTAGAGAAGCATTGTAAGCGATATGAAAAATACTTTCCAATAGCAGTTGTGTTGAGGATAAATGACTTTACGGATTGAGTCCTTGGATGTATTATGCATCAATCGTATACAGCGTGACAACATATACACTCATGCAGTGTCCACATTGACATTATTTGAAAATAACTTGAACATAAAAAGTCATCGGTTGCCTGACTTTTTCAGACTGTCGGTATTATTGCACGACAGCAATGAATGTGTTAACAACGGTTTCCTGTAAAATAGCTTCAGATGCTTTGAATAATAATAATAATAATAATGATGATGATGATGATGATGATGATGATAATAATAATAATGATAATAGAAGAATTGAAGAAAAGTATTTTGTAAAGTCACATTGCATAAAATTATATTCAATCCCAATTATGCACTGTTCCATAAACACGACTGCAACTACCGTGTAGCATTCACTGACATTGTGCTACATAATGCATAAATACATTAAGGTTGATGCTTATTGTTAAATGGTAGGCATGAATACGCAACTTATTTCTCAAGACGTTTTATTAACGTTGCTCCTGGGGGCATTAGAAAAACTAAATGTGGCTCCTGCCTCCCATTTCCCAAATGGCCCCGAGACCGCTCATTAATGAACGTATCCAAAAGGCCTGGGTTTTTCGGTTACAATTACTATTCCTCATTGTCTACACGAGGACGGGAATACATTCTCCGGAAATTGGAAAATGCTGCAAAAAATGATATGTCTAGAATTTTTGTTTGCGAAGTAGCCTTCGGGGTTTTGAGAGTGTACAAACGGAATATTGGCTTATTTATATGACCCTGCGCACAAATGAAGTATTCATGATTTTACATGTCACCCTAATACATGCGAACATAACATGATTATACTGGTATACAAGATGATACGAATTGAAACCTCTTCATTATCACGGCGCGTTTCAGGACAACTTTTCTTTCAGTGCGAGTTTATTAATAAGACTTATTATTAATGCTACATTATAATAATAATATAAAAAAATGCGACAAATCCATTTCATAATCATAAGATATCTCTCCTAAAACAGAGTATATTGTACGATTCCGACCATGGCATAATAAATGACCAGTCCCTAAATAATGTTCAAACATATATCAATTCTTTTGTACTCGAAATAAATAAAACGGTGTCATTTGTACATACCCCAGCCACATAGTTGTAATAAATTCGGGCGTCCCCCATCTTTGGCTGAGTCACTTTGTTCATGACCCGTCCCTTAACACCTCTCACCTTCCTGTAATAAATGACTAGTTCCTAAACGTCATACAAAGCAGGTGTAGTAGTTCAACTCCCACACTTTAACACTGGGCTTCTTCTACCGTCACAGTTCTAAGACTGCTTCGGGTCCAACAATCGGGTAACAGAGTCAATAACATTGGCAATACTCATATCATTGTGTATGTTATACTAGTGAAAAGAGAAAAAAGCTAAAGAAGTTGTAGTTTATAAGCAAGGCGCCGTTAAAAATACAACCTTATATCGAATCTTATAAAGTGCGCGGCTATCACTCTTCTTGAAAACAGAAATCCATCGTAAATCACTACATATATGTTAAGAATATTCTCTGGTGCATATAACCAGCAACTACGCCAAACACAGCGTTAATGTTATGTATAAATTGCAACCAACCAAATTTACTTACATTCTAGATTACTTCATGTGACATTACTCATGGCATGTATTCAGTGTCTATATAAGACTGGCCGTTGTTATGACTAATAGGATCCGTTATATCATAGTACTTGAGATACACCTTTATCTTGAGTGATGCACACTTTGAGAAACAATAAAACACTTGATAGGTGATTTGTGAACGGGGTCTAAGGAAACAATACTTATTGTACCCATGGAATAACGCGTCCTCGTGGTCTTGTAAAAACTTCAAACGTACTTCTAAAAGGCTAGCATTTTAAATGACTAGGAAATACATTTGCAAAATAATACTGAGGAAGAGAATATATGGATGACAACTTCTTAATCATGAGGATCACAACGTTTCGAAGTATATGCTTACTCAGATGAATGCCTTTCAAAGACTTAAAACAATACGAGTATCTCTACGGATCCACAAGATAATCGTAATCGAGTGGCGAGATACCGAATCCGTACGCAGCACGTGTATTCCCATGAATAGTCATGCTTGAATCTTTTCATAGAGGAAACATCACGAGACTACTTCCAGATTTACACATTATTCAACCAAACAACCACATCACCCCCTTCAATTTCTCTGTGCATTCTATTTTTATTCATGTCGTAACGTAGACCTACAACAATGCTTTATACAATCGAGCCATGTGCCATGTTCCTAAATTGTTTGGACGATTAGATCAGTCGAACAGAACATATCCGGTGTAAGTCAAACCAAAGTCTTTGTACGATATGAGTCAGTTAAACTTTAATGTCACGTCGGCAATATTTCGGCCATAGTGTGACTTGAACAAGTTTCCATAAAAAAATATGTTGTAAAATATGTCGTCAAAGGTCAGAGTAATCACTAATATGATATTACACATTTACTTCCAACTAGTTGGGAAACATTAAAACAGATTTTAAGACAAGGATACAAAATATGAATCAGGCTGTGGATCGCCGGGGACCTAAGTTTGGCCACCATCCCAGGGACCATGGGGGACTTCGGTACTTCTGTTACCTGCATGACATCCCAGCAGTATTTACACAACCATAACAATTGCTGGCGATTATCAGAAACTTTAGCCGATAATGAAACAACTTTTCTACAACTTTAACCATGGAAGGAACAAACTACTTTGAATGATATATTCTTACATAACCTCTCAGGGGGGCAATTTTTTTACGCTGCTTTAACTCCCTTGTCAGTTTATTATATCAATTTAGAAGCGATCATTTATTTATTGCAAAACATATGTTTAAAGTCAAAGAATACAATTTCTCTTAAAAAACAAATTATTCAATGAGTAGGAATACACAGTGTCATCTAGGAAATGGTCAAATGTAACAAATGTTATATTTGGCATAACACTTTCTTAGTGAAGTACAGATTCTAGTACTCTTTTGGGGTTGAGTCCAATCCTGGATGCGAACCCACACTCCCAGAGTGAGGCATCCGAGATTCGAACTCACGCTCCCAGAGTGAGGCACTAAAAAGTACTAGAATCTGTACTTCACTAAGAAAGTATTATTCCAAATTTAACATTTGTTAAATATTCCTGTGTATATCTCGAATGGCCAATTCAATATCGTCGCATAATGCCCTCTTTACATCTGGACTTGCAACCCAAGTAGGTGTAACCGACAATTGGTTTAATTTTATGTAACTTATTGATCTTCAGCATTATATCTCGGATGTAGGATCCAATCACAGACTTATGATCGCTGTTTGAGATCAGAAGTGATATAGCAGATTTGTTGAGTGGTTCTTTTGCAGCAGCATCGACCATCCACTGTGTTACCGATGATTCCAGCATGGACGATGTCATATTGACTAGTACGAACATTATTATATAAATTTCAATTAGAAGTGGATGTTTCCAACTACTTAATAGACTTCAAAGGGAGTATGAAAATATAGCATACTATTTATGTTTCGACTATGTAGTAACATCCTTCAGTGCTTTTGATATGGCATTTGATTCTATCGTAAAATAGAACAGTTATCAAATACCTTGAAGATGTTGTTCTGGATCCAATGATGGTGGTGCTGGCAACTGCGTCACCATCTTAGAATCCATCTGTAAATATAGTTTTGTATGTATTGTATAAGCTTGACTATATACGTGTTTATGAATTAGTTCATTTGTTTAAGATTTCTTGAGTTTAGTTAATGCTAGGTCCACCTCTGGCTTTACCAAATGGCATGGAGGACAAGACAGATAAATATCAGATGTATGCAAAAAGAAAGAGTGTAGACAATTTTGGAAACTGATAAGAAATAGTGCAGGGCGTCAGTTCGTCACTGTGACGGCGATGATATTTTTTGAAGTGAAATAACTTTAGAAGAAATAATTGGAGCTGTAAATAAGCTTAAATTTGGAATGTCACCCGGAAACGGCGGTATCCTCCAGACGCTATCAAAGAATCATGTGACATTTTATAACCGAATCTTTATGTTTTGTTCAATAGCATACTTGTTCGAGGGGAATTCCCGCAGTAATGTAATTGATTGACACTACAGCTGGTGTCCGTCAGGGGTGCAAGTTATCACCCCTTCTATTTTTTATGAATATTGACGAGCTGGTAGTAGAAGAAGACGTTTATTCACGAATGAAGGCCACATGGTCCAGAGTTCATTTACAGGAATAATATATGCTGTGCACTTGCACAATTTTTCTGACAACAAACGTTCATAATTGTTACATTTGTATTTACATAGGTAAATGTCTTTTTTAAATATATGGGCAGGTTTTTAATAACACAATCATTTATGGTAGTTAGAAGACTCATACATTTTGGAACAGATGTTTGTATATGGTAACATTTTGGAATGAAATTGTCTCTACTACTTTTATGAAATGGACAAATTAACAAAAAAATGGCATTCATTTTCTATTTCATAGCGGTTACGTGTCATACATAAACTAAACGATGACTCTGTGGTTGTTTAAATCGAGTTTCTGTACATTTAGATTATGGCTTAAACAACGGAATTTGCATAAAACTCTAAGAAGATCTTTTTCACAAACTAAAGTAGACAGATATTTTTTTCTAGTTCGAGTAGTGATTTATAAGATGAATAAACATGGAGGAAAGAAGAATTTGTGATTTTGTAATGCCAGTTTTGGAATTCTACATCTTTGCATCGTTGTTTGAATATAACCATGAAGCATTTCATATAGCCGCAATTCTGAGACAACCACATGTACACATATGAAAACCCAGTTTGGAACAAAAATTGTCTTTTATAAGAAACCCAGTTAGTTTCACCATTTTCGTCAAATGCTTTTAAGTAAGGATAAGAATTAATGGATGAACAACTTCTTTATTACAATTAAGAGCGACGTTTCGGTGTAGGTTCTAACACCGTTATAAAGCAAGTGAAAGACAGAGTGTGCTTGACAAGTATATATACAAGTAGATGGCAATGTTTATACAGTAGAGTAGATATTGTTATACTGGAGTAGAGAAGTCTGTTATTTATACACAAGGGTAGTAATGACAATCATTGGTGAAGTCAGTGACATAAACAAAGGATGAAGCCAGTAATATAAACAACGGGATTATGGCTGTTTGGGGTCGACTGTAATAGTGTCATTACAGTCATGTTCTTCCCAGCTCTCCTAGAATTGCATTTGTTGATGTTCTTTTACCAACGGAAAAAAACACTTTTAAAGGAATTACTCTGAACCTTTTCAATGCTTTTTCTATAATTTTTCCCAAATTTCTGAGCCATATAGAAGAACAGGAGCAATCTTTGAATCAAATATTTTAGCAACAGTAGAATATGGGAGAGATGGGAATATTGACGAGTTCGTGTGAATTATAAAAGACAATGATGAACATGGTTCATGTATATTTATAATTTGTAATTTTGTGAATTTTTTTTATTACCGTTTGCGGACGATGTTATGTTTGGAGAGCATCATTTAAAAACTAAAACAGATATATTGATCAGATATTGCCAGAAATGGAAATGATCAGTTAATATGAATAAAACAAAAAATAAGAAATGGTTTATTTATGGTTGTAATGTTGAAGTAGTGTCTTATTATAAATATTTGAGAATAAGGATTTCCCGTGGAAATATTTTCACTCAGGCTTATACCACATCAGCTTAACAACCAGATAAAGCATTATAATGAAATTTTCGTTGTGTTCATTGACATTCCTATATTCTGATTAGCTGAATTGGTCACGTGTTATTGCATTCATTTCCCAATGAATGTAAAAACAATAAGCCACGCCCACCGAAGCGGACTACTTTAATTACTGCGGAATGTCGGGGAATCCCAATATTACAGTCGAGGGAATTTCCGGCTAATTTGTATCGTCATCCACAGGACATTTAGTGAAATTCCTGCATATTCTTTGTCCAAACAACTCTTTGAGACCGAATGCCGAGGAGGAATGAAACAGCAAACGTGCAGGCTCGCTCGCCTGTTTTCTCCCGTTCCACAACTTTCATGTCCTCGCGTTTTATCTCTAATTAGCATTTTTCCAACTGTGTCTTCCCGTTCTCAGGGAACCAATGTTTGAGTCTGGCGGTAACTGACCACGTCATTTGAAACAGCCGCCTTCTCCCGGACATATTTGTTCCGGTTCGTTACAGTCTAACTGTTGCTGTTCTTCTCGCCTCTCGCCTTGAGTGATAGGTCCTATCAACTTTGTTTTTATCATACTCTCCGTTGATTGGCTACTGACTTTGTGGGCGTGTCAAGTTATGTGCGTAAATTAACCTATCACTTGATTCATGTCACGCCATAGCATGTATTCCTACACTCGGAATGTTCATCAATCTCGCCATTGGTTTTGTCTGCTTTGATATATACGACTGTTATGGTTAAACTATTGTAGATAAAACATGTTTTCGTTGTTCAATTTATTTATAAGCATTGACTGTGTATTTTTATCGGGTCATTGAGGTATGAATGGAAAACCGATGTGCAAACTTTTGTAAGAATTCGCTACGCTCTATATGGACTGATGAACGCTCTGTACAGTTGAAGGAGGGCTTTCTTATTAATTAAAACATTCAATAAACTTATTTAACTTAATGCTAAATAATGTGGAAACCGGATACTGCCCTATGGGACATCCTGATCCTGATCCTGATTATAATGGTCAAACAGGGTCGAACCCGTACGAGCTTCAAATTGTCCGTTTGAAAAGGACTTGGGGAAAAATTGAAACAAAAAAACTCTCAATTCAAATTCAGTTAAATCTTTTAAAATTCCATGTTTCCATGAAGTGCTATGTGCTTTTTCTAGATCGATAAAGATGGAAACTGCATGTTAATTATTAATAGTTGCTTTTTCAAAAAATAATCTAACAGGACTAAATGGTCAACAGTACTTCGAGTTCTCCGAAAACCACACTGAATATTTGTGATAAGATGATGAAAACTATGGTTGACCATGGGACCATGGTTTTGCAAACACAGCTAGTCAATCAAATTGGCCTAATATTTCAAGGACCAGTATGATCTCGTCTTGAATATGGTTTGGTAACAACTACCTCATCAAATATTAACAGAAGGTTCCCTGGGTTACACCGTTTCCCACCAAAACTGAAGAAACTCCGGTTATGATGTGATTAGATGTTTCAAAAACATTACTGTTGTCAACCTGTTTTATACATAGGCATTAATAAAGGGTTCCTACTGCTGTGCAAACTAGACAGTGGCCTGAAATACACCATCAGATTATGTTATGAAGACTAACTTTCACTAACGGTTGTATAGTATATAGTAGTTTTGAAATTCATCGTTCGATTTCCTGACTGTATTCACTGAATTTCAATCCTCTCCTCACCATTTGGAAGAAAATAAAAAATAGTGGTCGTCAAAGACGTTCATTAATATTGTTCCACTCTGTTGGTTTTCACTTTTTCGGTACAAATTCGACCATGGTGGTGCAAAGGGTGTTCTGTAACAGGAAGATGCATCAAAGGAGGCTCGAGCTCGGTCTTTGAGATGGGAATTAGTACCCATAGGGTCTGGTAGTATTGTAGACAGCTTTATAAGTGTTTTAAAAACTGGACGGACGGCTACAACTATAAACCAATGTATCTGCCGCAACTGTAGGCTTCACAGGCACACCTGTACAATATTGCTCATTCGTGTCGCGTCCATAGCAACATACCCTTACGTCCCTTAGCATTACACGTGGAACAAGATCGGATATTGCGAATGTACTCTAAGTCGCAAACAAACCAATAACAGAGCTGTGGTGTATAAAAGTTATTGTTAATTGAATAACCGTTTTCGAAAAAAAGCTTGAATGTTTTTCAAGATGGCTGGTCCACCTTACTTTTCCATAAACTGATTGACAGGAACGAAATGCTGCACATGGTTCAGTTTAATGATGACGACGAGCCCCAGGACTTTGGACACGTGGAGACGACCCTATTGAAAGAGTTATCCAGTGTAGACAGTAACTGACATATTCACAGACTGTCACAGACGAAGGTAACGAGGGGTAAACGGAAGTTATAGAGTAAGTGTACTTAATATGTCCGTCAATAATCCGTGACAGTTAATATCCATCAGTAGCTATTCAGGTTTACAGTACGCAAACTGATCGAATACGATGCAGGATTAGGACGTACCTCAACAGAGGCATACTTTTCCATACGCGTACACGTGCAAGACTTTGTTTAAAACAACGTGGGATGCCAGGAAAGGGGAAGGTGATCATTATACAAAGTAATACGTTGATTACACTATTTACACGTGATAGTGTCTGCTGTGGAATTATTAGTCTTTGTCAGTATTGGCAATATCGATTGTTTCGTAATGAAAATATTCTTTTATTTGTTGAGGATGGTACATGTACTACCCTTCATGAGAGTGATATGGCGGCATGTTATTATGTTCTTAACCATACATTGCAGTTTTCATTATCAAAACATTTATGTTATGAAAGTAACCGAAACAATTATATACAGAATTGTATGGGGTAGTAAACGAATATTTATTTCTAAACACATGAATAACAAATCAAATATATCGCTATACATCAGACATAAGAGGGGAATCACACTGATACATGTTACAAGCACCTCCAAATTAACATCCCTTTTATTTCCATTATTTTCGAATTAAGGTGAATCAGCTACATGCAGCAGTCATGAAATTATAATATATCCATGATTGGTTAGACTTGATATACTACGTAAACATAGAAAAATTGTATACCTTGCCGTCGATGTTGCCCAAGCCACATCATGAACTATTATCCCCTTCTTCAAACATCTGTCAGCAAGAAGGCACGAGCTGCTGAGTGCAACTCCGTGCTGGCCGACTGAACGCTGTCATACCACTAACACGAGTGTGCGATGCTATCTGCCTGAGCAGCGATGTATCCCGTGAATACGGACATGTGATCGATAGTAGTCTCGAAACAGATGTAGTTTTACGGTGGCCAAACATTCGAAAAAGGAAGACAGTTCATTCACTGATAATCGAACAAAAGATATATTTTCTTGACACAAATTAGAAATGTTCTTGGCACATTTGAATTACCGTTTGATTTTTGAATTACACGATGAAATTTTCAAATCTAATATTCGTTTTGGGTTTTGTGTTGTGATCGAACCATGTGGTTATAGGACATGTGTTACTGAGGCACAAAATCACCCTTCAAACGATCTTTTATGTTTGTTTTCGGTCATGTTATATCGGTGCTTTTAAGAATTATACTCATGACTATTTCGAGAGAAAGAGATACATGATACTAAAATGAATGCTCCTCATCTGGATCGATAGGAACAATTAGGAGATAAATATATTTGTCATTGTGTAGGTTTTGAGGGTTTATTCGATTCTTGTTAATAGCATGCGAAACCGAACGCGTTGACCAAAAAATGACATAATAATATTAGTCCCAGGGAGGATACGTGGTGCCTGGAGTTAGATTATGTACTCATCTCTTCCAGTACATGTATATAAGCACCGTCATGTCATCGATGTTACTCGAAACAATTTTTCGAAATATTCATGAAACAAATAAACTCAAATATGCCAGACCACTTTTTCAAGCCGATGATTTACATTGATTGTGTAATTTAGTATGATCATTGTGCAATTGTAATTGAGGAAAGGAAGTCTTTCATATGCTGCTTAACTTTCCGTCTTTTCTAATGCGCATTTCGTTGTCATTACCACTTTATTGCCAGCGCATGTAAGTATGCTGCCAGTGCAACAATGTTTGATATGGTGTCTGTTCGTGGACATGAATACATGAAAACTTAAAAACATGTCACTCAGACTGCATTAGGGACACATGACATTAGAAGATGTATTTTTATTTAAATTAAAGATGAGAGAAGACATCATCTATGTCTGACGGACTCTATATCTTAATGGAGCCTATCATCAGAAGTATAGCTTGATAAGGCTAAGGAAGTTAATAGTCCCCGTTTTTGTTCAAGATATTTCTTCAATGGCACTTAGGCGGTCACATTCTGTCTGGCGTCATGTCAGTACAGATGCGTTGAACTGTGCGCTATTGATTGGCGGATCGATAATGGGCATTCGTTTACGAAATTGCGATGATCAACATGGATGACAATCAGGTAGACATTCACTGGTACCCACTCATCATATGGCAGCCGCTATATATATCAGCAAATCGAAGAAATAACAGAATTCGATTAATAGAAGCTGTTTCTACACAGATATGAGGAATCCCGATATAAACTGAATGTCATTTTCGCGTACAAATGTCATATCGTGTTTGCTTTATTACGAGGAGGTGGCTGAAAATGTCTTAGCCAGCAGCGAAGGATGTACAATACATCCTCAAGAATGTGCATGTGCTAAGGACAATTATATTATCCATACGTACAAGCTGTATTCGAACCAAATACACAAACAGGGAGAATACTTCTGCGGGCATGCAACCGACAAGTAGTCTTGTTAATGACCTATGGACACAATTGGCTACTGCGCTGTTACCAAGTATCTCCAACTGAAAGTGTTATCTACTACAGCCACCCGTGTCAACTTTAGGGGATGATACGCCTTCGTGTTAACGTTGCCACTGTACAGAAGTGGGCAGCGGGCTTTCAGGGCGGAATGAGAGAGCCTCGACGTTAACCCAAGATCAGGAAGACCTCAAACTCCCACCACTAAGGAACAATACATGAAATGATTATGGATGCTCGACGACTCAACGCACGGCACATAGCCAAAGCAGTTACCACCTCTCAAGAGAGCGTTGAGGACATTCTGAGGAATGAACTCGGCAAAAGTTTCAGCATGATGGCTTCGAGAGATCCTGACTTCTGATCAGTAACGCGCCATGGTTCATCAACTCTCGTGAAAACTTACGTCATTTTGAAGCAGACCAAGCTGCTTTTGTTGAGCGATTTGTAATCATGGATGAGTCGTGGGTTCCCTCTCGAAAGATAAAACCATGAATGGCGAATATTATTTTGATCTGCTTTGGGATTTGCGTGAGAGTATCAAGACTTTTAAAACTCACTAAAGGTGTGTTGTACCACTAGGACAATACTCCTGTTTACAAGTTTGTGGTCACCATGGCTGCAATGCATGACTGTGGCTTTGAACTCATTTAACATCCTCAGTATTAATCAGATGTGGCACCGTCAGATTTCCGACCCTCAACAAAGTAAACGAAAGATCGTCCACCCTATATGCAAATGATAATGACGTCATTTATGTCGTGCAGAACATTTTACAAAACCAAGAAGAGACCTTCTGCGCCAGTTGGATCCAGGTACTCCAGCATTGTTTGCTGAAGTGTGGGGACCCCAGTGAGGATCATGTTAAGAAATAATTAGCAACCAAAACCTTCGCAATAAAAGCGACAAATGCATACGATATTGTATGATTCTGATAATATCATAAACACGTGTTTATGAATCACAATCAAATATTTATAATTCCAGGTCCATCCTTGAATATACTGACACATAACAAGAAATGTTTTATACAGCCGTATATATTCTTCGAGGCAGTCATATGTTAATAGGTATATTCGATTTACAAACTCCTTGTTGATAAATACGGTTGTTTGAAGTTATCACGTATGATGCATGTATGCATTTTGGGTTCCATGTGAGCTTAATAAAGTATCTAATTACGTGCCAGTTTGATATGTGAGGAAAGCCCTAAGCGCGTCAGACCTTCTTTGATTATCCACGATTCAAATCCACGATCAGCCAGCGATTGCTGTATCTTGTCCAATTAGTCCCTCGCGTCTCCCTCGTGTCAAGAGAAGTACAACCTTTTAATATCGTCAAGGATGGACACTGATGGGCATGTGCTACCTCACAAGCTACAGCTTTTCTGTCAATTAATTTTAGTATCATAATGTACGCGTACTTTATAACTTGAAGTTTACGGCTCGGTAGCCTTGTGATTGAAGCGTTTGCTAGTGAATCGAATTTAAAGAACCAGGTAGTATTCACACTCAAGAGTGAATCGTCACTGTTTAGTTTATGTTGAGCTCCTATATAATATTGAAACACTTGATTGACGTAGGACTGGACACGGTAGACACAATTTATAAATAACAACTTCTTTAATAACTGTGACGGCGACGTTTCGGTACAGATCTTTATACCGTTGTCAAACAAGACTAAAGGGTGAACAAGGTACAGAATATATAAAGTAGGTGGATGATGAACAGAAGATGATTAACAGTAACAACAATTGCATACAAAAGTGGGATAACATGAGTAGGTTAAGTGATGACAACAGAAGCCAAAGAGACATGAAGCCAATTAAACAGGATAAGTTTACATAGGTGTGGTGATTATTGCTTAATGAGTTCATAATAGGCGGATGGGATGGAATAGCCTTGATCTCTGTTGATTGATTAATGCTATTTCATCCCATTCGTCTACTATGAAACAGAAGCAGTCCACATTTGCCGCCACAAGCCATCAGTCAACAGAGATCAGGGTTATTTTCATCCCATTCGCCTTCCATGATCTCATTAAGCAATAATCACCACACCTATGTAAACGTATCCTGTTTAATTGGCTTCTTGTCTCATTGGCTTCAACCTCTGTCCAACACATGTTTCGTAACTGGTACTTTAATTACAGAAATGAAATATTATTTCATTGTTCTTATAACCCATATTTCATATTGAGTTCAATTGATGGCAACCATTGTTGTTATCGATCAGTTAACTGGCATGAATGCTTATTTTAAGACCGTCCTAATAACAGTATCAGTGAATCAGATTTAGCGCTTTGCTTCGTGGTGGACATTTTGAATCGCAAGATAGAGTAGTTATTATAGACCAGTGGCGATCTCCTGCAAGCTTGCAAAATAAAGTATTTAGGTCTACCAGAAGAATAGCAAAGATGCATTTGAATCTCTAGTTTTCCAAAACTAATTTTGCCAGACTTGAAAGTGTCAGGCAACATGTCGTTTTGAGGCGTTTCCATGGTAACAATGCTAGTTTGAAAACACACACACTATTACTACATATAAGTGGATAAACATGCACAATGAATAGATATTTTTTTAAATTTGTGAATGTAAGTGTTCATCCTGACAATGCTCCTTCGAATTTCAAGAAAGAATAGGTACAATTCCGATTGGTGAGACCTTGACCTTTGACCTTAACCTCGGTTCGTTACATGAATCGATACATGCGTAAAAGTAGGAGTTTCGTACAACGTCTGATGTACATGTGAGTCTGCCCGATGCATCTATACATTGGTGAATCGTGAAATCCCCACACAACTGTGTATTAGAATAATGGATTTTTCGTAATAAAAACACGTTTATATGTTCCTGTTTAATAAATTTCTTCTCTTATTTCCTTTGTTTAAACGACTAATTCATCTCTCTCGGAACCTTTGCTGATACCTAGACGCAGTGTGCGTTTTATGAAAAGAATTGTCTATACTCATGTATAAGGATATTTTCAATTGAATGAAAACGTTTGAGACCCTAGCATAGTTTTCGCATATACACACATATATTTTTATTAGGTTTGGTATTGATTTGTGCATTTATTTATCCACACATGATTGATACGATTTGCAGCATTATCGGGAACAGCGTACTTTCAAAAATAAATCTCAAGGGTCTTTTTACGCAATATCACTGTGCATTAATAATAATTATAACATGTATCAATAGTCTGGTAACATCACTAAAATAGACTTCTTACTTGAATATCCGGGGAAAAAAAATTACACGTAATATTTGCCATGATGATCACTATATTAGACATAAATCATTGTTTGACAGTTAGTATCAAATAGTCATTATTATTTAACCACTCTAAAACGTTTTGC